AGATACTAAACTCACCACACAGCTCACCAACACAGTTACTAAACTCACCACACAGCTCACCAACCTCAGTACTAAACTCACCACACAGCTCACCAACACAGATACTAAACTCACCACACAGCTCACTAACACAGATACTAAACTCACCACACAGTTCACCAACAGATACTAAACTCACCACACAGCTCACCAACCTCAGTACTAAACTCACCACACAGCTCACCAACAGATACTAAACTCACCACACAGCTCACCAACCTCAGTACTAAACTCACCACACAGCTCACCACCACAGGTACTAAACTCACTACATAGCTCACCAACCTCAGTACTAAACTCACTACACAGCTCACCAACACAAGTACTAAACTCACCACTCAGCTCACCAACACATGTTCTAAACTCACCACACAGCTCACCAACACAGATACTAAACTCACCACACAGCTCACTAACACAGATACTAAACTCACCACACAGTTCACCAACACAGATACTAAACTCACCACACAGCTCACCAACCTCAGTACTAAACTCACCACACAGTTCACCAACACAGATACTAAACTCACCACACAGCTCACCAACCTCAGTACTAAACTCACCACACAGCTCACCACCACAGGTACTAAACTCACTACATAGCTCACCAACCTCAGTACTAAACTCACTACACAGCTCACCAACACAAGTACTAAACTCACCACTCAGCTCACCAACACATGTTCTAAACTCACCACACAGCTCACCAACACAAGTGCCCACATCTCTACAGTTCTCGGGCGATATTGTCCAGGAAATATATATTTTTAACGGTTATAACATACATATTGTTTATTAGTGTGCAGTGGAATTCCGTAGGAAATAGTGCGGCTCGCTCAATGGACTAGTTTGTCGGCGTGTGTAGGATTTGCGTGACTGTGACTTATATGCGAAACAGTTTCATCGCTATATTAGTGTCGGTCTCCCCCCTGTTCACTTGTGCAAGTTTGTGGTTTTCGGATCTGGGATCGAGCAGACAGGGTTGTCGGGTGAGTGGTTTGTAAAGTGGGTGAGTGGTTGGGTGAGCGCCTGGGTGGGTAGTTTTAGGAGTGTTTACGGTTAGGTGGGTGGCTTGTGAATGTTAGTGGTTAGGTGAGTGGTTGGGTGAGTGGTTGGTTGAATTGTGTGAGCGGTTGGTGAAGTGGATGGGTGAGTGGTTGGGTGAGTCATTAGGCGAGTGGTTGAGTGGGTGGTCTTAGGATTTGTTTGTGTTCATGCTTAGGTGGGTGGTTTATGAATGTGAGTGGTTGGGTAAGCAGCTTATTGGATTGTGTGAGTGGTTGATGAAGTGGGTGGGTGGTTGGGTGGTTGGGTGGGTGGTGGGGTGAAGGGAGTCATTTAATGTAATTTATGAGTGTCTGGGAAACTCATATAATCGGCTCGTATGTAATGGTGCCATTGGCTCTTCTATTGAAATCATACGGTATTGCAGAAGCGGATTTTTGACAAAGCCATGTGCGTGTACAGGTAACCACGTGACTCCTGCAGACACTTGCAGCCGCTGCACAGTGGTGTCGCATGGCGTAAGCAGCCCTCGTGTCCCAAGTAGCTCAAGGGTCCCCGGATTTATATATTTATTTAAAAAGTATGGGCCAAACAAAACATCAGCATGATTTAAAATCCAACTAAACACCACTAGATTTACATAACAAACGAATAATTAACATCACGCATCCCTACCTTGTCTGCAGCTCTAACTTAAGTAATTTAACTACGGCTGTTTCTAATCCACATCTACGGCTGTCTCGCTCAACCTTTGTTGGCTGCTCGCTCATCTCACTAAGCGCCCGTCTCGTCGGGTACCTCGCTCAATCCATCTCTTTCGTCATCTCATCGGGAGTTTATAACCTGCAACTGCATCCGATGTTTCGCCCAGAAGAATTGATTATTTAATGGAATCCCTAGAATTCTGGCTGGAAAGTGAACTGTGAATCGTCATATTGGTCGGCAAAGCCTGCGTGTTTAAAAGGAGTCCCTCGAATTTCATCTTATGGCCGAGAGGGAGGGAAGGGCTGTGGGGGGGGGGGGGATTGAGGTGGTGGGGGGGGGATTGAGGAGGTGGGGGGGTGGGGAGGATTGAGGAGGTGGGGGTTTGCTTGTGAAACGTGGACCCCTCCAATGGAACATCTGTGCCGGTTAGAAACATTCAGGCTGGCATGTCCTACGATCCACCCTGGGTTTGACCTGCAAGCAAAATTGTGTGATGAGCTCACAAATCCTTGAACGATCTGGACACAGTCCCATCGGTGACTTCCTCCGGCAGGCGAGGCTGCGTTGGCTGGGTCATGTAGCCCGCATGCCCAGCCACAGCAGCTTCTGTTTGGCCGCATAGAGGGGGGCTAAACGGGCACGACACGGGCTGGAGAAGAGATGGAGATGATGCGGTACGGGAGGATGTGGAGGCTCGTGAAGGACGCTGCTGCTGCTGCTGTCGCCCTCCAGCAACAACGGAGGGCAGAGGAGCGACGCTCACAACAACGAGCGGAGCCCCGGGCGGATAAAATTCTGCAAGTTGGCACAGTAGTGGGGTATCAGCCGGTGCATCTGAGTCAGCCAACTCGTAGCACCTGGATCTGTCCCGCGAGACCTCCTGCCAGCAGAGAAGCCTTCGACACTTCACGTGGCAGCCTCAAAGTGCACCTAGCCTGGCACGGGCGCTGTGGTGACGCCACGAACGGCGGGGGTATTGGTGGAGGGTTGAGGGGTGTGGAAGGGAGACTGTGCCCAGGGTGGAGAGAGTGTTGGGGTGGGGTGTGGACAGGGAGGATGTGGTGGGGGTGGTGGTGTGGTGGGAGTGTGGATGGTGGTGGGGGTGGTGGTGTGGTGGGGGTGTGGATGGTGGTGGAGGTGGTGGTGTGGTGGGGGTGTGGTGGGGGTGTGGTGGGGGTGTGGTGGAGGTGGTGGTGTGTGGGGGTGTGGGGGTGATGGTGGTGTGGGTGATGGTGGTGTGGGTGATGGTGGTGTGGGTGATGGTGGTGTGGTGGAGGTGGTGGTGTGTGGGGGTGTGGGGGTGATGGTGGTGTGGGTGATGGTGGTGTGGGTGATGGTGGTGTGGGTGATGGTGGTGTGGTGGGGGTGGTGGTGTGTGGGGGTATGGGCGGTGTGGGGGTGGTGGTGTGGTGGAGGTGGGGGTGGTGGTGTGGTGGGCGTGGTGGTGGTGATGTGGTGTGGTGGTGTGGTGGGGGTGGTGGTGGTGGGGTTGGTGGTGGTGGGGTTGGTGGTGGTGGTGGTGTGGGTGGTGGTGGTGGTGTGGTGGTGTGGTTGTGGTGGGGGTGTGGGTGGTGGGGGTGTGGGTGGTGGGGGTGAGGGTGGTGTGGGTGAGGGTGGTGTGGTGGGGGTGGTGGTGTGTGGGGGTGTGGGCGGTGTGGGGGTGGTGGTGTGGTGGAGGTGGGGGTGGTGGTGTGGTGGGCGTGGTGATGGTGATGTGGTGTGGGTGGTGGTGATGTGGTGGGGGTGGTGGTGATGTGGTGTGGTGGTGGTGGTGTGGTGTGGTGGTGGTGTGGTGGGGGTGGTGGGGTTGGTGGTGGTGGTGATGGTTGTGGTGGGGGTGTGGGTGGTGTGGTGGTGGGGTTGGTGGTGGTGGTGATGGTTGTGGTGGGGGTGGTGGGGGTGTGGGTGGTGGGGGTGTGGGTGGTGGTGATGTGGTGTGGTGGTGGGGTTGGTGGTGGTGGGTGGTGGTGGTGGTGTGGTGGTGTGGTGGTGGTGGTGGTGGGGGTGTGGATGGTGGGGGTGTGGGTGGTGGGGGTGAGGGTGGTGTGGGTGAGGGTGGTGTGGGTGGTTGTGGTGGTGATGGTTGTGGTGGGGGTCAGGGTGGTGGTGGTGGGGGGTGTGGGTGGAGAATGACGCTGACGCACGAAGTCGCGCGGCTCATTCCTGCGCAGCGTAGTTTGAGAAACCGGCTCGGCCAGAGGCAGCCCCCCCCCCCCCCCACTTCTCGCAACTTGTCACTGCTGCGTGCAAGCCGCAGAAGCAGCAGCACTCTTCAGCATACACACAGGGCAAGGCACACAGTAGCAGTCTTCAGCATACACACAGGGCAAGGACACACAGCAGCAACAGTCTTCAACATACACACAGGGCAAGGGCACACAGTAGCAGCTTCAACATACACACAGGGCAAGGCACACATTACACAGCAGCAGTCTTCAGCATACACAGAGAGCAAGGCACACAGCAACAGTCTTCAACATACGCACAGGGCAAGGCACACAGCAACAGTCTTCAACATACACACAGGGCAAGGGCACACAGTAGCAGCTTCAACATACACACAGGGCAAGGCACACATTACACAGCAGCAGTCTTCAGCATACACAGAGAGCAAGGCACACAGCAACAGTCTTCAACATACGCACAGGGCAAGGCACACAGCAACAGTCTTCAACATACACACAGGGCAAGGACACACAGCAGCAGCAGTCTTCAGCATACACACAGAGCAAGGACGCACAGCAGCAGTCTTCAACATACACACAGGGCAAGGCACACAGTAGCAGCAGCCTTCAACATACACACAGGGCAAGGACACACAGCAGCAGCAGTCTTCAACATACACACAGGGCAAGGCACACAGCAGCAGTCTTCAACATACACACAGGGCAAGGCACACAGCAACAGTCTTCAACATACACACAGGGCAAGGCACACAGCAGCAGTCTTCAACATACACACAGGGCAAGGCACACAGCAACAGTCTTCAACATACACACAGGGCAAGGCACACAGCAACAGTCTTCAACATACACACAGGGCAAGGCACACAGCAACAGTCTTCAACATACACACAGGGCAAGGCACACATTACACAGCAACAGTCTTCAACATACACACAGGGCAAGGCACACATTACACAGCAGCAGGCTTCAACATACACACAGGGCAAGGCACACAGTAGCAGCAGTCTTCAACATACACACAGGGCAAGGCACACATTACACAGCAGCAGCAGTCTTCAGCATACACACAGGGCAAGGCACACATTACACAGCAGCAGCAGTCTTGAACATACACACAGGGCAAGGCACACAACAACAGTCTTCAACATACACACAGGGCAAGGCACACAGCAGCAGCAGCAGCGGCAATAATTAGAAGATTGGCGCGTGGGTGTCGGCGTCGGAGGTACTGTATGTGTGGTGTTGTTATTGTTGTTGTGTGCGAGTGTTGTTGGTTGATGGTCAAAGGAGTTCCCTTTCTGTTGATGGTCAAAGGAGTTCCCTTTCTGCCTTACCCTCCCTGCTCCCCGCCACTCGCTGCTGTTGAGTTGCGTGGCGATGATGGCACGAGTCGTCGTGTTGCGACTAGGGGAGACAAAGGCGGCCGGGCGTGATGCTGGCTACCCCCCCCCCCTCCTCGTGTGCCACAGTGCCGGCCCTCCAGAGGCGCAACTTCGCTCGCAGTACTTGGCCCAACAGTCTGTTGAGGCTAGACGGGGGATCTTTGTTGTGTGGTGTGTGTTGTGTGTTATGTATGGTGTGTGTGTGCTGTGTATGTGTTGTGTGTTATGTATGGTGTGTGTTGTGTGTTATGTATGGTGTGTGTGTTGTGTGTTATGTATGGTGTGTGTATGGTGTGTGTTGTGTATATGTTGTGTGTGTGTTGTGTATGGTGTGTATGTGCTGTGTGTGTTGTGTGTTATGTATGGTGTGTGTGTGTTATGTATGGTGTGTGTGCTGTGTTATGTATGGTGTGTGTGCTGTGTATGTTGTGTGTATGGTGTGTGTGTTGTGTATGTGTTGTGTGTTATGTATGGTGTGTGTTGTGTGTTATGTATGGTGTGTGTGTTGTGTGTTATGTATGGTGTGTGTGTTGTGTGTTATGTATGGTGTGTGTGCTGTGTATGTTGTGTGTTATGTATGGTGTGTGTGCTGTGTATGTTGTGTGTGTATGGTGTGTGTTGTGTATGTGTTGTGTGTTATGTATGGTGTGTGTGCTGTGTATATTGTGTATGGTGTGTGAGTGTGTTGTGTATGTGTTGTGTATGGTGTGTGTGTGTGCTGTGTGTGTGCTGTGTTATGTATGTTGTGTGTAGTGTGTTGTGAGTGAGTGTAGTGATGTTCACAATGCTTCTCTCTCCACATGTGGTTGTGTCGCTGTGTGTGTGTGTGCCGTGTGTATTGGGGAATGTGTGATGGGATGGCTGTGTTGTGTTTATATATAAGTGTTATAGTGTGGTACTGTACAGTACCGACAACATGTTCTATTGCTTGTGTGTCAATATAGTGTACTGCATTTATAATTATTTATAATGTGTTGCGTGTACTGCATACTGTACGTATTGTGTGAGTGTACTCAGTGCAGTATTTATAATGTACTTTTCAATGTGTTGTGTTTGTTGTGCTGTGCCGTGTGTGTGTTAATCTCAAGGCCAAATTGAAAGTGATTCCGTGTGGTGTCTGCATATGTTGTAGTTACACCTACAGTACACATCGTCACTAGTTACACCTACAGTACACATCATCACTAGTTACACCTACAGTACGCATCATCACTAGTTACACCTACAGTACACATCACTAGTTACACCTACAGTACACATCGTCACTAGTTACACCTACAGTACACATCGTCACTAGTTACACCTACAGTACACATCATCACTAGTTACACCTACAGTACACATCATCACTAGTTACACCTACAGTACACATCGTCACTAGTTACACCTACAGTACACATCACTAGTTACACCTACAGTACACATCGTCACTAGTTACACCTACAGTACACATCATCACTAGTTACACCTACAGTACACATCACTAGTTACACCTACAGTACACATCGTCACTAGTTACACCTACAGTACACATCATTAGTTACACCTACAGTACACATCACTAGTTACACCTACAGTACACATCATCACTAGTTACACCTACAGTACACATCGTCACTAGTTACACCTACAGTACACATCGTCACTAGTTACACCTACAGTACACATCGTCACTAGTTACACCTACAGTACACATCGTCACTAGTTACACCTACAGTACACATCGTCACTAGTTACACCTACAGTACACATCGTCACTAGTTACACCTACAGTACACATCATCACTAGTTACACCTACAGTACACATCATCACTAGTTACACCTACAGTACACATCGTCACTAGTTACACCTACAGTACACATCGTCACTAGTTACACCTACAGTACACATCGTCACTAGTTACACCTACAGTACACATCATCACTAGTTACACCTACAGTACACATCATCACTAGTTACACCTACAGTACACATCACTAGTTACACCTACAGTACACATCACTAGTTACACCTACAGTACACATCGTCACTAGTTACACCTACAGTACACATCATCACTAGTTACACCTACAGTACACATCATCACTAGTTACACCTACAGTACACATCATCACTAGTTACACCTACAGTACACATCGTCACTAGTTACACCTACAGTACACATCGTCACTAGTTACACCTACAGTACACATCGTCACTAGTTACACCTACAGTACACATCGTCACTAGTTACATCTACAGTACACATCGTCACTAGTTACACCTACAGTACACATCACTAGTTACACCTACAGTACACATCATCACTAGTTACACCTACAGTACACATCATCACTAGTTACACCTACAGTACACATCATCACTAGTTACACCTACAGTACACATCACTAGTTACACCTACAGTACACATCGTCACTACTTACACCTACAGTACACATCGTCACTAGTTACACCTACAGTACACATCGTCACTAGTTACACCTACAGTACACATCATCACTAGTTACACCTACAGTACACATCGTCACTAGTTACACCTACAGTACACATCGTCACTAGTTACACCTACAGTACACATCATCACTAGTTACACCTACAGTACACATCGTCACTAGTTACACCTACAGTACACATCGTCACTAGTTACACCTACAGTACACATCGTCACTAGTTACACCTACAGTACACATCGTCACTAGTTACACCTACAGTACACATCACTAGTTACACCTACAGTACACATCGTCACTAGTTACACCTACAGTACACATCGTCACTAGTTACACCTACAGTACACATCGTCACTAGTTACACCTACAGTACACATCGTCACTAGTTACACCTACAGTACACATCGTCACTAGTTACACCTACAGTACACATCGTCACTAGTTACACCTACAGTACACATCGTCACTAGTTACACCTACAGTACACATCGTCACTAGTTACACCTACAGTACACATCATCACTAGTTACACCTACAGTACACATCATCACTAGTTACACCTACAGTACACATCATCACTAGTTACACCTACACACAAGCTGCTGTGTGTTAAGTTGCGACAGAATTCGGTGTTGGGAGGTCTTCATATAGCAGTGGACTTAGTAAGGGTTGTAACCCATTGATATATATGTATATTGCGTGTGTATACAACATTTGTATATGCTGAATGTGTGTATGTTCCTCCGGTAGGTTGACTCAGCCATAAATGTGTATCAGTGTGTGGTGGGCTCTGATCACAACCCCCCACCCCCTGGTGTGCTTGTGTAAGGCTGCCTTTGTTAATCTGTATAGGACTCTGTAAATGACTTATTTTTTATTTTACACTGATCCTAAATGGTTTTGCCTTGAATAGTTGACTTATAAATTACACTTTAAGTGAGGTTTCATATACACTACAGTGAGTGGTCCTGTAAACGAATATTCTGGGCTCGCAGTAAACTTTACCTGTCTTTTGCAATTGTCCATCTTGTTTCAGACAACCGACAACATCGTCATCATCATCTTCGCTTGTCATTCACACCTGTTCGTAAGATCATAATTATATTATCATCACGTTTGAACAGTTGGTACCATCAGTAAGTAGGCTTCGTCCCATCGTCATCATTATTGACAATCGGTGACATCCCTTAGCCATTCGGTATTACCATCACCGTCATCATCCATCACCATAATTCACCACCTTGCAGTGGCACGCACAAGTAAGAAAGCCATCGTCAACGTCATCATCATCATCCAGGTGATCGTCGTCATCATCATCGTGGAGATAGCCGTGAGTGATGGCGGATGGTGGAGGATGTTCGCAACACGGGGATGCCTCTGGAGGAGACTGCAGCACTTGTGAGTCCGAGAGCCCTGGGATAAGCGAGAGCCCACGTCCCCTACTCCCCTCGGAGGAAGACCGCGTTCTAGATGAGGAGCCCAACACCTTCTTCTGGTGAGCACAGTCCCTGAAACTCTCCCCGCAGTACTCTCTGTGGAGCCTTGTTGTGCTCTTCCCTGCCCTCATTGGCTGAGAACATCCCGATATGCAGAGGATCGCAGAGCTCGGTTGGCAATAGTTGGCGCGCCGGCTCGCCGGTCCGTGGTTCTGCTTGCAATCCGAGTCGCTCTCCGAAAGAAGTGAGCCGTGAGAGTTTGTGTCATTCGAATTTGGTTCGATTTGTGAATCATGTTGCGAGCACAATCCGTGTATAGTTCGCGCGCAAAATTAAAACGACGTAAAATATTTAAGAGGGGAAAAGGAAGCCACCTGTATATGAATGTGAATATGATTGTGTTGGCTGCCACAGTGGTTCGTGTACACAGTTGAGTGACAAAACAAAAATTGCGTTTGACTTCCATCCCTCTGGGGCGGTTAAAACTAGTCCTGTACCAATTTGTGGGAAGTCAACAATGGTCTTTTAATACCAACTGGCCATGGAATTTTACCGCTGACTCAAGGCCACCCAAGGAAATATACGTATTTAACCAGAGAATGAGATCTACCATTGAGACACACGAAACATAATCTTTTTGCAAGGGCAATCTGGGTGTCTGTGGCCATCTTTCGCAGGCTCTAATCTGTTAATGATCCACCAACCTCTCCATCCGTCTCGCTGTATTGGAGGTGGACTGGGCGGTGTGGGGAATGCTCGTGGTTGATATGTAGGTGAGGGTAAGACCTAAATAAAGGTGGTGGGTGCTAATTAAACTCTTCAGATCAGACTTGTGCAGTCTCGTGTCGACTGTGCAGCAGCTGCAAGGATCTGGCTGGAGGAAAGAAGTGATGCTGAGATATGGTGGTAGCATTAACGACCGCTGGTAGTCGATACAAACCCGCGTTGTTCTGGAGCATTACGGGTAAACGCATATATTCGTAAAACTCTATTCTGTGACCCCACATATAAATAAATACAACATTAAGCCATCAGCACATTGGCTTTCCAGATCAATATTGTTTAAATTTTATTTGATTACTTTTTATTTTTTTATTTTACTTGAAAAAAATGTAGTTTTCTATTTGCGTGACTTTACCGAAAGAACCAAGAATACAATATTATTCAGCAGCATTTGTTTAAGCAATCGGACTCTGGCACTCGTTTCGATATTCAGGGTCTCAACAGCAGAATCATGCTTTATATTCTTGGTTCTTTCGGTAAAGTCACGTAGAAGGGAAACTATAAAATAATAAAAATATAAAACAGTAATTTTATTGTTTCCCTCTGACGTGACTTTACCGAAAGAACCAAGAATATGAATCCCTGCAGTCACGAAAGCTTGAAATCAAAATAGAATCAGGCTTGTTAAGCAAATAGTGGCTTTTGTACCCTGACACCTGGCCTCTGCTTTTTTGACAAAGGACACCAAAAAAGCCTTCAACAAACATGTCTTTTGGTTGTGTTTGTGACGTGGTGGTTGACTCCCGTGTGTGGCGTGTTTTTGATTTTGTTACGAGGTGGACACAAAAAGACTTCTCTGCATCTCCTTTTCGTGCTGGGCAATTACAGTTTTGGCCATATGTCGGGTACAGTGCAAAAAGAGTTGAATAAACATGACAACTGTGCATGAAAATGTTTTAGCTTGACACGGTTATGTCTTTCCTTGCTGTACCGCAGTTGTAGTGCGTTATTCCGTAATAATGTTGCAGTTTGCGCGTTCAGATTTGAAACCTGAGTTTAATTCCCAGACACGACTAACAATTGGGCAGGGCTACGGTTATGGCTATATTTTCGTGGGCGTTGCATCTTTACGGGTTATCATTTAAAAAATCTATGTTTTGTTGGGACAACTTTACTTGGGGTTCAGGATTATTTCATATTAGATTATTGTTCGTGATTAGATTCGTTTGGGGGGAGGGTTAGGGGAAGGGTTAGGGTTTTAGAAAGCGTTTTGAAAACCTAATTGCATTCTAATGGGGTAACATTCAAAAAAAAATTGGGGAAGGAATGCCAGTGATGCCGTGTAATGTGTGTAGCATCGTAGAACAAGCACAGCACACTGCTTTGTAGTAAGCTATGAATAAACGGTACATTACAACACTGCCTACAACCGGATCGCGCTGAATGAACCTGATCTGATTGGGGCTCGGAAGCTTAACCGGGGTCGAGTCCGGTTAGCACTTGGATACTACCACCCGCTTGGAAATACCCTGTGCTGTAGGTGAGGGCTGCGGTACAGCAATGGATTCTTGAATCCACCTTTACGGAGCTGTGAGTGTTGCCTTCCACCCCCAACTTGTATGCGTGGCGGGTCTTGTCTGGGTGCGAACCACTCGCGAATGGGATTGGTCACGCGTTCCTCAGCAGCAAGCGCCCTCCTGAAAACGAGGCGCGAGACTCGGTGACTTTTATGAGTGAATCAATAAATAAATTACTTTATTACGAGTGTACGGGCACTGTGTTATGTACAGTGCAGTGGTGTCCTCTGTAAGTCAGGCGCTCATTAGCAGTATATTATGTAATGAATTGTGCAATGTAGTGGTGGTATACGGTGCAAACTATATTGGGGTGCTGCAGTGGCAAGATGTTAACTACCTCGTCTGGTGTACAGGAGGTCGTGGGATCAATCCCGACCCTGACGCTTGCTGCTGTATATTTGGAGTTTGCATGTCTCTCCCCGTGGTCGCGTGGATTTTTCTCCAGGTCCTCCGGTTTTTCTCTCCACATTTAGAAACGTGCGATTCGAATATTTGGCTGATAACACATTTCCACATGGTGAGCCACCTCGTTTGGCTATCATTTGTGGATGTCAGTGTCTCCAGTGGCTTCACGGGTGGCGTGAAACTGATGCATGCAGCACACAGTACCACGATTAAAAAAACACCGACGCTTACACGCTCGCATCGCTCATTGCATCACAAGGGCAAGAGTAGATATGAAGCAGTGAAGCGATGCATCGCGTTCCAGACCTGCAGCCACTGGAGGAACCACGATCCGCTGTGTGGAGTTGGTGGATGACGTGCTCAGAATAATGCTTCACTGTGCAATGTCCTGGATTGGGTTTTTGTGATCCTTTGAGAAGAACATTTGTCGAGGACTGCCCCTGCATTTGTTTTTCTTTGTCTATGTTAAAGCAAAAGAAAGAGGGGGTGCTTAAGTTCGTTCGTTTCCTTCGTTTCTCAATCGGCTTGACCTGGTGTGGGTCCCGACGGCAGCATGTTGAGTTGAGCGGTGCAGACCATCCCTTTCCCTGGCAACGGACTCTAGCTCTTCCTGGGGAATTCCCAGGCATTCCCAGGCCAGCCGAGTGACAAAATCTCCCACCAGCATGTCCTGGGCTGGTCCCGGCGTCTTCTCCCAGTGCTAAGTAAAAAAAAAAATGGACAACGGCCAGTTTTACCGCTTAAAAATAAAATAATAGAGAATATAGCTAACCGTCGTCATATCTACAGTTGCCATACGTTTACCACCAACGGATGGATGATGAATGGCATGCAATCCCCACTCTCTCGCTCTGCCTTCGCCTGAATACGCAGCACCCTTACGCGCACTGGCTGGTAACCGCTCCATCTCTGTTGCTTTGCAACTCGCTGATGGCAGTGAGGTGGTGTTCGCCAAGCTGTGTTCTCTCTCTCTCCCCCATTACACGTTCTTTGTGGAGTTTAAAATTCAAGCCGTATGATTGTACAAGGTGAGAGCTCTCCGTTTCTCTTGGGGTTGTCGCTTGCATACCAGCATTGTTTGCGGTTCATGTTTTAAAAAGTTTAGCCGTTTGAAGGCTGGTGGGAACACACGTATACCGTGCATTAAATGTTACTGCCCTTCATCAACCCACTACTGGATGAAGGTCCCCAATGCCTTTCAGTCATAGGCGCTGTTGGACCGTTCTTAAAAAAAAACAAGAACTAAACTTTTTATTTTACCAGACAAAGCCCACTGAGCTTTATAGATCTTTTTTCAGAAGCGACCTGGCCACAAATCATAGCTCAACGAAGTGGCTTATCATGTGGACATGTGTAGCCACCAAATACTCTTCAACGCATGTTTATAAATGTGGAGGGAAAAACCAGAGGACCCGGAGAAAAATCCACGCGACCACGAGGAGAGAGACACGCAAGCTCCAAATATATAGACTTCAGGGTCGGGATCGAACCCACTACCTCCTTCATACCAGGCGAGGTAGTTAACATCTCACCATCAGGGTGCTCTAAAAATGATTCTTTAATCGGGGGTGCCCAGGACCGGCTCAGACCTCACTCGCCGCTGCTGCTGTTGTTGCTGTGAGTTTAACTGCGGGTCATCGTTTTCACAACGCACTGTACGAACACCTATTTTACTGACCATGGTGGGATAATGAGGGTTTTGATGATAATGTTGGTAATGATGCTGATGCTGTTTTTTTCTGTTCGTGACTGCTATTAAGTGTATAACAATGAGATTCACCCCGCCCCCACCTCCCCTTTCGCAGTTCCATTAATGATCGTGATCCAAGGTCACGATTGAATTCAAGTGTACTCTTGGTTTTATTGTTGTTAATGTAGCGACCATTAGCGTCTTACAGGAATTGCGTGATCCCATTTAATACAACGTACGCGGATTTAAAAAAAAACGATTCTCACAAACGCAATTTTGCGCATTCATCATAAGCTTAAGAATTGATCTACATTAATCGAGGCATCATTACACCCCTAATTGCTGATGACGACCACTAGCGTGACAGCTGTCTGATGTGTATTCGGGTTGTGCCGCACGGGAGACACTGTACAGCACAACCACGAAAAACCTGTGCAGTGTTACGTTCATGATCGGCATGATCGTCATGTGTGTGTGTTGAACTTCTTTAGCACAGCACGTAGCCGACCGTGCAATTCGCAGGTGCGGTATATTTATCTGTTGGCATTCAAATGATCTGAATGGGTTTCCAACTCACAATTGCTCAAATCTTACCGCGCATTGAGCCGTATTCCCACCCTGCCAGTTACATTCAGTGTTACAGTGAGGGGAAAAAAGTATTTGA